TCAGATGGGTTAGCTTTCCAACGCATTTTGAATCGCCTCAATCGAATATCGGAATACAAAGTTATGATAAAAACACTGAAAGAAGGTGCAGCTGCCTGTTTAAAACAAGAAATTCCGTTACATAATCCGTTAAAACAATAAATTTAATATGTTTTGAGATTTCTGTAGATTTAATATGTAAATTTTTGTAGTTGTATGTTTCGAGATAAAAAAAATCGTTCATCATGAGTCAACTTGATTTGCATTTTTTGACAAGCTAGAGTAATCATACTCGATACTTTCAAGAAATGTAAACCCAACACGTATAAATTGTGTGTTGCCTTATCAGTTACTTTTGACATTTTTTACACGTTCAAGCAATCATTCTTTTCACACATTTTTACATGTTTCTATTTATGGGTTGGCACGATCCAAATTATTTGACTAGTCGTACCATACCGAACTGTCAACACATACTTCTAAAGGATCTGAAACTCTACAAAGTCCATAAGTCCGATTTATACAAATCATTTGTACACTTCTAATAAGTCAATTTTCCTATGCATTTATTGTCCCTTATTTGAACTCCTTGAACTATAGCGTGGTGACAGACTGCATACGAACAAAAGAGATAAGATTGAACAATACATTTATAGCAAAGATAGAAAGAAAGAATTGCCTTTCAAAATTCTTCCCCATTATGGAGAGTAACGAGTGGGTTTAATTCAAGTAGTGTACCCTTTGTTTGTGAATTCATATTATTCACGCTCATTGATTGTTATGTTTAATACGTAAAATTTAATAGAATAAAACTTCTTGTACATTAATTGGTTGACATGAAGTTCGACACTCCATATATTTTCAAATGCAAATGGACGGAAAAATGTATTTTATTTTAAAACTGTTCCCTCATGCCACAACACGTGGTACAATATCAAACTTGATGTCAAATGAAGTGTACATGTAGCATGATTGAATTTAATATTATAGAAGTTATATCACGTGATGAATTGATTAGGTAGTGCTATCTTAATTGGTGGTCAATTCTCCAATGAAGAGGTGAGGTTAGATACTTGTCACCTCAAATGTTAATTAATGTAAATGCAAATTAATGGGGCAATATTATTAAATAAAACAAATACGTTTTCAAGTGTTTTGGGGGCCATCCTCTACGGGTTAATACAAAAAGATTCAAATGATATGAGTACAATTGAATGAACGTGTTATCATATGTTGAAGTTGGACATACGAAATTCGATATTATACATATTTTTTGATCAAGTTAGAACGAGTCGAGCATAACAAAGCAAGGACAGACATGACCCTTGTCAATCTAGGCTAGCGGTGACAATGGGCCGAACAAGTATCAACCATGAGCTTGGCTCGAGCTCGAGCTCGAATTTTTTTTGTTTTGATTTTTTTGTTCACATTTTTTCTACAAGCTCGACGAGCCAAACCTTGGTCAGCTCTCTGAACAAACCTGTGGCTCTGCTCAAGCTTGAAACTAACTCGAGCCGTTCATGGGCCAAGCTTTGACTTGACAAGTCGAGCTGACAGTTACTCGATCTTTTTGCCACCTCTACTCTAGGCAAGCCTATTGGCTCAACATTTTTCTTTTATTTCTTTTTATTTTTTTTTAGTTAAGAAAATTTTGTTTTGTGAGAATTGTTTGGATACGAACAAAATGTGAGAATATTCATGCGCGGTGAGCATGTGAAAGATCAATCCTACCTAAAATATACTGTTAGCAAAACTGGATATGCTGACGTGTCCACAGAAAAAAAATTGACATTTACCAAAATTAAGGATTACCGAATATGAATTTATGATGTTAATAATTCCACGACAAGGTAAAATAGACAGAAACTGAAGTAAATTATAACAAAATGAAGTTCATTTTAATACATAATAATCTTCAGTTCACTTGTGAAAGTAAAAAACTTATAATTCTATGCACGCACATTCATTTTCAGATTACAGTTCAGTACATAAGCTCTAATTATTATCATTTTTTTTTTCTTAATTTCAAGAAATTTCACTAACTCCAGAAGGGATCAAAATCCTCTGGTCCAATAGAAGTTGCTGGAGCCACTTTTTCTTCATGATTTGACACAATAGAGGAGTTTTCAGTGGTCATATCAGCAGTTTCTTGAGAGACAGACACCATTTCCGTGTCTTTTATGAAGTTTTGATTCATGTTTGGACCATAATTTCCCAGAAATGTTCGAAGAAACGAGGGATCTTGCAATGGGTATGAGTCCTGGAACTGAAATCCGCCCGGGATAGGAGAAAATTGTTTCCACGAAAATGTGTTGGGAACTGAAGTAGGAGGAAAAGTTTCGAGAGGATTTGAAGTCGGATTAAAAATGGAGTTGCTGAAAGAAGTGACGGGCTCTTCTTGTCTCGGGTTGGAGAAGCAGTGCACGTGACTCAATTTTGATTCATCGGGATTCGTTGTACAGTTATTGGAGAAGCAGTGCACGTGAGTCGATTTTGATTCATCGGGATTCATTGTACAATTGTACGTTGAATAATCCATTAGTGGTGGCAATGTTGAAGGGACAGAATTCATTCTCATTAGCCCAGATATGTGTACTTTTTTCCCACCAGTCGTCTTGTGAAATACCCTACATATAACCCAATCATTCTGCCCAAAAAAAGGAATAAAAACAAAGTCAATTTCATTCTCAGCATAAATAAAATTCAAGTCTAAAAAACAGAGGAAAAACAGGGGAATTTCACCTTAGCTGATTTTTGCAGGTTAAGAACAGAGATTTTTCCTTCCAATCTGTATTCATGGGCAACCCAATTGGATTTTACACCTTTCGGGGCTCTCCCTTTGTAAAAAACCAAAGTTTTCTTCATTCCAACGAGAGTTTTTCCTCGGAAAATTTCTCTATCCTTTCCTGTGGCCTTCCAGTATCCTGCAGAAGTAGCCCGGTTTGTCCTCAGACCAGAGGGATATTTCTTATCCCTCATACAGAAAAAGTACCATTCTCTTTCTCCGATTTTCGCTTTCCCTTCATTCAACAAACAAAACCAATAAACATGTGATAATAAATACATAAAAGGAGTCGAAAGACTGGTATCAGAGCAAACAAAGGTCCGAGATTAACTTACCTGGCAATTCCCATGGCTCAATTTTGTTCATATCCACCTCTCCAATAGCTATAGCAGAGAAATTGCTTTCAACAACTTTCTTTGACAAATAATGAGTAATTAATTCTTCATCGGTGGGATGAAATCGAAATCCAGCAGGCAAATCCAATTGATCATCCCCTTTGACAAATCCAAGACTTTTCTCCATTTTTCTTAACAAATTTCTGATTCAGAAACTGTGATTTCTTATATAAGCCTAAACTTTTTTCAAAACCCTAAAAAATTCAGTGGATTGCAGCCAAAAAATTCCTACTTTCAGAACTCTAGAGACCACGAGAAAATAATCCCAAATCCAGAAAATAATCTACTTATAAGTGGGTAGATTCTGATCCAGAAAAAAGCTATGGGAAAGAGAGAAGGAAATGGAAAATATGGAGAAAAGGAGAGACAAAAGCCATGGGAACTGACCTTAAAGCTGAAAGAGTGAGTTCACAAAAAAACATCATGAGGTATTCAAGGCTATAAATACTTGGTGTATTTAGGTTGGAAGAACCGTGATGTGCAAGTAACTAAGGAGGTTGTTTTGAATAGATCCAAGGCCTTAGATAGCCATGCCAAGTTTGTTATTCTGAATTCGACAATACTAGACAGAACTAAAGAACATAAATAAATTAGAGTCTCGTGTATTGTAATATCATATTGGGGAGGTTGTTTTAGTTGTTTACTCAATTCACAACACCTCGAATTTTGAATCACTCAAGTCATGACACCTTGAACGCAATAACCCACTCAATTTATCTCTTTTACCCGCTCGACGTCCGAAATGTCGTGAATTTGGTGGTTATTAAACATATATAAAGAACATAAACAAAATTAAATCTTGTATACTGTGCTGAATAGTGTTGTCCAGAATTTTTTATACTCATTGAATGAGTTCGTGCAAAAAAGAAAAAAAGGCTCTAAATAGTCGGGACATTATCGTTACCAAAATTTTGTCTATTATACTAACGTTATTATCGAGTAGTGTCTTCTATGCTTTTGGATGAAAGAAACGTATATCTATGATGATGTTCTTGGCCACTTTTTGCTCTTGTTGTCCATTTTTCTTTATATTTGACGAAATTCAGTTCATCTAAAAGACAGTTACATAATGCATTTAAATTGACAGAAGAATTTGTCAACAGTTAGGCCATGAAAAAGTGTATGGGCACTCGTAGTGCGTGTACCACAATTATAAGCGTGTTTTATTAAAAAAGCAGCCCTCATCTCATAGTTATCTACAAATAACCATATAGCAAGGCTTTAGCAATACTAAAGTAGAGGTCACGAGGTTGTTGATCGAGCAGCGATCACATCCAAAGTGTAACAGATCGAGTCAAATTGAGGAGTCGGCTGAAGAGATGGGTGTTTCTCACTTTGCTATTTCGTAAATATAGTTAGTCATTCAACGGGATTCAAGATGTCGAGGCTATTAGTGTATACTGAAGGATATGTCAAAGATTTTTTTAAACAGAAGTAGTATATTTTTTCTTTTCAAATTTTATGATGAAAAGACTAGTTTTTATCTTATTTATACTAAGGGCCCGTCCCGCGGGATATTCGCTTTTGCTTCGATCAGCTCCATCTAAAACTTCTTCTGACAAATAAAATACTTTCGAAAAATTATCTAAACAGACCCAAAAGTAACTTTTGACTGTTCAAAAATCTTATCAAACGGGTTCTAAGAATGTACACCAAAAACGACCTCTTCGATCTAAAAGTTCTTGTATTTGAAAACAGCTGTCTGCATAATAAAAGATAGACTAGACTTCATCAAATACCTGAAATTAGATTGCATCCCAATTATTTCCAATGTCAAACCGACAGTTTCATCATTATTTACTTTCCAGTTGGAAGAGGAATATGTATAGAAAATATGAGATTGGACAGCCACTGGGAATTAAATTTTCACGTGTTGCATTTTCAATGCGAAACGTGTATTTCACAAATATATACATCATTTCACTCACGGCTTAAACTCCAAATATGTCTATTTCATTTTGATCTCAAATCTCGAATGGATTTAAGATCAAGACTTAAATTTCTTCATGGCTCACATCCAAGGGTTGAAATAAATTCATCGTGTATAATCTGTTGGAAGGTCATATCAGAACAAAAATAACTTTTAAGCTTAGTCAAACGAATTTGAACCCTTTCAAATTCACATTCGATGAATCTTTTCTGAGATTATAAGTTAGTCAAACATCAATGTTAATCATACATTTTATTGGACTCACAATTTTTATCTACTTTTAACCACGAATTTCATGGAATCCACCAACTTATAATTTTCAAAAGTTATGTCAAACATGGTCCAAAATTACTTTTGAATAACTTATTTTCCAATTAAACTTTAAGGATTCAGTATAGATTAATGAGCTTTTCTATAATTTTTATAAATAGCTAACATTAATTTTGCCATTAAATACTTGGCTAATCGATCATCTTGTCTGATTGGTCGAACTTATACTCACACACTAAATATTTTCATCCGTAAGTAGCTCATATACACTAAGAAAAAAAACGCACACATGTAACATTCATCTTCTTTACGACGTCTCCCTAGCAAATAACAACACACATTCAAGTGGAATGTGATTGTTGGTAAGTGTCGTGGGTTATCCGAAGATAAATATATGGAGGAAAATGAAGAATTCCTTCCACGCTTCCTATTAAAGTCCAACATTAGTTGGTGATATTTACATAATCTACTTAATAAGGTGATGACAATTCTCTCATAATATGTCGGTTTTGTTAGGTTGAGTTATGCCCAATATCCTTTCTAATATGGTATCAGAGTAGGCCCAGTTTTACAATGTTGGGTGCACCCAATATCGATTTGTTCACAATTGTTTGGTATGGTCCACGCTGTACGTGAGGGGGCGTATTAAAGTCTTACATTGACTGGTGATATTTACACGATCCACTTAATAAGGTGAGGGCAATCCCCCCTAACAAGACGGTTTTGTTAAGTTGAGTTATGCCAAATATCCTTTCTTATACTTCCGAAATGATTTGTCAACAGCCAATGAGCGATCGGCCAAAGCAAGTAACCCTGTGGAGGGGTCATCCAACTGCATCCTCAACATAAGGCGTAGTCGAAAGGCGATTTTGCAAGCCGAACTTAACAGCAGTTCTTTTTTCTAGTTTCTTTATTTTATTTAAAACCCGCTTTTGTTCGTACTGGAAATCACATGAAAAGTGGAAGAACACGCCATTTGGATAAATGATTTACAGATTGATTGAATAGTCGAGTTGGTTGAGTTACCTTTTGAAAATTATAATGCTATTACAAGATAACAATGTTTTAATCATTTTTTTCTCACGTCTCTTGTACTATCATCTTGCAAATATTGTTCTCTGATCAACTCTCTACTCCATTCAAATCACAACTGGTATTGAAATACCAAAATTTACGACTGTTCATTTTCCATTTTCTGTGCAATTTGGTGACCTCGTTTTTTGTACCGTAGACATGAACAATAGATACCGGGTCCACTTGTGTTCTTTCAAGTTAATTCCAACACATGTAGAATGATTGTCAATCGACAATAAAACAAGGTTTAGATGTGGGAGAAGTTTTATAGGACGAGCAAAAATGTTCGGGCTCCGACAAAATATACGAGATAAATTACACGATAATGAATGATCAACTTAGACCCAAACTGATCAACATCACAACTCAAAACACTAGAAACTCAAGATTATTCAAAAAGAAAGAGAGTATATGGCTTGCAGTTAATATTTTTGCATTATCCCTAAATGATACAAATGGAGAATATTTATAGTGTTACATGTGAAATAGTAGTCATTGGATGGGAGGACGCGTGACTTCTTCTCCTTTATCGAAACATCTCATTCTACATATCAATCTCGATTCCACTAGCCTGTGGCGTATTAAATTTTCCAAAAAAGAGGCGGTCGTCCCATAACTTATGCTAACAAATAGACATTTATACTCATTACAACAGTCCAATCAATCATTCTAAAAGGAATTCATATATTCAAGACTTTCAAACATGGATCGTCACTAGCCTTAGTTGAGCCTCGGATTTTGCTTCGTTGAACCTCACCATTTCAGTAAAGAAATTTCATTTGGACTTCATATTTGTCTTTAGCATAGAGGTTTCAGAAGCCTCATAAGTTGCTTTGGTATGAGTGGTTTCGTTGGGTCGGCATCGTTTGAATTCTGATAGGTCCTACTCCAAGTGGGATGCCACATAACTTTGGCAGAAGGTGCTCTGGTGGGTCGACTGGATCACACGTGAGCCTAGATGGCGAAGCATAACACGATTGATCTTTCTTGAAAAAATATCCACTTTTTATTAATTCTCCACCCAAAACTTTGAATAATAACTTTTTAGATTAAGTTATATGGTCAACTTGCGAATCTGCCACTCAAATTATTAGCATAAGGAGAAAATGACACTGCCACCATATCCAATAACAAATCATTAAAACCCACGCAGCAAGTTCCCATTGGTCAGAATTAACTATGGTTAAGTTAATTAACTCAAGGGTTGACAAATAATATTGTGTTAAGCTGTGCTGGTAATGTGGGCCCTGTCTCTTTTGTACGGACATGTAGCAGGGAAAGGAGCAGTACACGTGGCATGATAGGGTTGGCTATATAGAGTTAGGAATTAGGCAATGGTCAGCTTGTTAGAAACTATTATGTGATTTGCTTTAAGACTTCCAAATCTTCAAAAGATTTTAAAATGGAAAAACCATTGACTATTTCATGCATTGCCTAACTTGAGTATCAATATGGGATAATATATTTTATCATTAGTAAGTGTCAATATGATTGTGATGCATTAATCGAGTTTTACTCCTGATCATTAGGATAAATTGGTCGAATAAACAAATTCATCGAGAGATGCGTTGTTCAACATTCATGTATCGACTGGATTCCATCCAAGGCAAATCCATTTAGTTGGTTAGCTTAGGTGTTCTTCATTTTTCCACCTCAATGTCTGAAGTTGGTATGATGATATTAGAGTTAAGAGGGGTCGATATATCTCTTTAAAGGAAATTCATGTATATTATGCTTGCCTTAAGCTTCATTCTAATTCTCGAACTGCACTCTCTTATCTTCATACTCCTAACATGAGGCCCATAGTTCATCCAAGGGGACGAGCTTTACGAAATTTCACGTTCTACATTATTTATTATACTCTGGCGTTTACGAGTTTTATTTTATTCATGAAAGGAAAGAAGGCACCTTTCTATTCCTTTCTTAAGTTCAACTTGATTAGTTTTTTCTCGTGTAAATATTAGATAAAGTTTGTTGTTTGAGTCGAGTTTAATGGTGGCTATTGTTGTTAAAAGAATATTAAACCAAATGTACTTTGTTAATCAATAAGGAAAAAATAATTTGTATGTACTTTTTTTATTATCATCAATTCTACTTCTCGAATTCTCTTCAGACGTAAGATAATCAATTATAATAGGCGACCTATTGATAAACTATTATAAGATAATATATTAAGGTGATAAATACGATTAAGAAATTCCCATTTAAACACTCTAAATGGGAGCTTACCTCAATTAAGTCAAACCCAAAAATAGAGGAAAAATATATATTATTATATTATATCATCAAATTTTTGTTTAATTTAAAATTATGACTTAAATACATTATCTTTACATGGTGTAAGTGTAATGTATGATCCATTGGTTCATTCAATGACTACAATTATATCAACAACTTTTACGGCTAGCGACACGTTAGATAAATATGACAAGACATCATTAAATAATACAACTGAAGTCATTGAGCTAATAATATTCGCATCCACCAATATGAAATTCTTCAATTATATTTGAACCTTTTATAGTGATTAAACTGGGAATTATTATAAAGTTATACGACATGTTAGGCTATATGAGACTACATAATTAAAAAAAAAAATAAACATGGCATCATAAAATATTTCCCTCGTAAGGCCAAGTACTAAAGAATAGAGGACGAGATCTACGCGCCGTTATGTCCACACAATTTTCATTTGTCGGTGAAGCATCAATTATTATTACCTAAATTGGAGATGATCATCACCAGGAACGTAGTCAGGATTTCAATCTTGGAGTGACGAAAATACGGGGTGGAGGGTGGCGGAGCCCACAAATTTTTTTTTTTTAACTAAGAGAATTGAAAATGACGATTTTGAGTACCAAAATAAGCAAGTTAGATTGACTAACCAAAAAGACAATCAGTTTGTCGATACATAAATAATATGTCCATCTATTTGTCTAACGCTATACAAATTGAAAATATGAACGTTAGATAGATATCAAAAAGATAAAAAATAAACTGTCTATCTATATAACAGATGATAGAGATGGCTTGAACATCTGAAATTGGTCTCTACTTGTCCTCAAAACTTCAAACTCGTCAATAAGAGAATCTAATTGAAAAGTATCAACAATCTCCTTCTCTATATACACAAGCATGGTATTGGACAAAAAATCATCTTCCATTCTATTACACAAACTTGTCTTAATGACAC